CCCGCATTCGCACTCTGGGAGGTGAGGAGAGAGGGGGGGGGGAGGGAGGGAGGGGGGGAGGGAGGGAGGTCGTGCGTTTTCATGTGCGTGGTCTGCGGTGCGTGTGTGTGTGTGTGGTGTGTGCAGGTGGTCTAGGAGGGTCGACGTGTTTTGAAGTCGCCGTAGCTGGGGAGATAGAGAACATACAGGTGAGTCCGCCGCAGCACATCGCGCCATCTGCCTTACCTTCCCGTCGTCCATCCATCCATCCATCCGTGTCATATGTGTATTGGAGCGAAGGGCTGTTTTGATGGGTGTTGGGTGTTGGGTGTGGTGTGATGGCAGTTGCCTGAGGGGAGCCGGTCTGCCCCTCTGGTGTGTCGATACCAACTCGTATACGGACCTGACTGGGCACTCGTCCAGGTAAGTCAGTAAGCCAACTGCACAACGATACGCACGAATGAATGAACACGCTGGCTGCCTCTCCGTGTGTGTGTGTGTGTGTGTGTGGAGGGTCCTGACTCAGGGGTCTCGCAGAGTGCGTGTGGTCCGTTGGGCGGGGGTGCGGGCGGCGCCTCTGTGGGGGCGCTCTCCGCCCTCAACCCCTTCTACGTCCCCACGCCGCCGTCGGTCGTTATCAACTTCCCATTCAACGCCGTCTTCAAAGTAAGAAAGGACGGCTAGGCTATGTGTGTGTAAGTTTGTGTGTCTGTCGATGGATGGATGGATGGATGGATGGCTGCAGGCGCAGAATGCGTTCGGGTGGCCGAGGGTGCTCGTGTGCATCTACGCTACAGACTGGTGGGTGAACTATCTGAGCGGATGGATGGATGAGAGGGGCTGGTCCCTCACTATCCACGCCCTCCCTCTACCCCTCCCTCCCTCCCTCCCTCTATCCATCCATCCATCAGGTGCAACCGTCGCGTTATCAGGGGCTACTCGTCCGTCCACGTCCCCACTCAGCCAGGGAGGTACTGGACGACGCACTGCACTGCACCACAACACACCACACCACACAATGATTGCAATTGACGGATGCACACTCTCCTCAGGCACGTGCGTTGGCTGCGTCTGTACTGCCCGGTGGCGTCCTCGTGGCTGTCGCGCTTCATGGGCTGGCTCACGGGCAACCGGGCGGAGTACATCGACCCAAAGACGGCAGCTCACAGCGAGGGCAGGGAAGGTACGCACATGTGTACGCCACCCCATTGTGTGCTGCGCCATGCCATGCCATGCCATGCCATGCCATTTGTGTGGGTGTGTGGGTGTTTGTGTGTCGTTTCAGTGGTGCGGGTGAGGAGCGGTGGTCGCGTCAAGGTGGTGCTCAACGTGCTGCTCAAAGACACCAAGCCGTTCAACTACTCGTTCTGAGCACAGACATACACACGGACCAACAGACGCAGACGCAGGCGTCGGTCGGTCGCACCTGGGGAAGAGGGGGCGGGGGGGGCGGGGCGGAGGGAGTGGAGCGATGCGACTACATAGCTAGCTACTCATGGCTAGGCTTCCACCGTGTGTGTGAGTGAGTGGTGTTGCATGACTGTATGACGGTGTGCAGACATCCATCCATCCATCCATGAGTCAGTCAATGGACCACTTCGAATACCTATGCTACGCGTGTGTCTTGCTCGGTTCGTCTACATGCTCGCACTGCACACACTAGTCCCTCCTCCCTCCCTGTCTATCCCCCACTCCACTTGTGCGTCCATCGATCGATCGGCAAGCTCACCCACCCACCCACCCACTCCCTCACCCACTCAGACAGACGTGCACGAGCACCATGCATCCATCCATCCCTTCACAACTCATCGATCGCATCTCGACACCAGCTCACATTCACTGGAATGAAAACATGAAAGAAAGAACGGATGGCTGGGTGATGGCTGGGCGGCTGGGTGGGTGGGTCCGGGGATAGTCAGTGCGCGCACGCGACGCCAGGCAACGCAACGCAACGCACCGCAGCATACTGCACTCACCGCAATCACCCACCCCATGGATGGATGGCCAAACGAAAGAAACAAACACATCGACATAATGTGAACCAGCCAGACAGACAGCAGGCAGGCAGGCAGGCAGACAGGCAGGCAGGCGGGCGGGCGGGCGGGCAGATGGCCAGGTGAGCGAGGCATCCATCGCACTAGGAGACGTCTAGTGTCACCCAGGACCACGGATCAAGTGCTGCTGCTGCTGCAGCAGCTGCTGCGATCCATCCCATCCACTGCAGTGCACTGCAGTCAGTGC